CGTGTGTGTGTGTGCGCGCGCGTGTGTGTGTATATCCGGTACACGATGTTCACGGGAACGCTGAAAATCGAGATCTGCGAGGCGGTCAGGCTTAAGGCCACGGACAAGCAACGCAAGTTCTGGCACACCGATGAACCCATACTCGACCCCTACGTTCAGATGAACGTCGACGAGTTCCATCTCAATCGATCAACCACCAAGCCCAAAACCTTCAACCCGGTCTGGAACGAGTCGTTCACGTACGAAGTCACGAACGCAGTGACGCTGGGCCTCACTGTTTTCCATGACTCGGGGATCCTGTCGGATTACTTTGTCGCCAACTGCAGTATACCCTTCTCGGCGCTTGTCAACAGGAACGACGAGACTTCCGATTTTTGGGTTGGTTTTACCTTTTTTTATATGTATATATATATGTATATATGTATATATATATATGCAGATATATATGTTTTTTTTTGTTGTTGAATTATGATGTTCCGACCGTTTGTTTTATTCGCGTCGCGGATAGTTGTCGCAGGTTTACTTGATACTGTCATTTCGTGCGCTCCTTAAGGGTTGTTTATAAGTGCAGTTGGTAGGTGTAAGCATGTTGCAATGTTCATTGTTGACCTGTGCAATGAAGCAACATGTCATTGGTCTGTCTCTGTTATGATGTTAGAAATCTGATTGAGATAATGATAAGATTATGTACATAGTTGCTACCTTTAGGGATGGGTATGGGTAGTTTAGAAATTTGGAATTGGTTTTCATTTATGGTCAGTGTTTTGTTTGAAATATTAGAGGTGTATAAGGATCTGCGCGAAGTGCTTGACTAATGCTCATATTTATTGTGTCACAAACATGTAATGTTTGTGACATACTTTCTATGAGTTTCATGGTTAAATGTAACTATTAGAAATTATCTACATGATATGAAACTCATTTTAGGTTGACCTTGAGCCTAAAGGAAAATTAAGAGTTAAGATTGATCTGACATGGAAGAATCAAGGTAAGAATGATAATTAGATAAAGATATGTAACTGATAATTATTAGTTTCGGCGCGTATTAAATATATTTCTTTGATATAATTTTAGATCAGCAATCAGGCGGTGGTACAAGCAATGGAGAAGGAATCAGGAGCAGAGATGGTGGGACCATCAATACCAGGAAGGAATCCCAAAGAGAATTCAAAGAACGACAAGGGATCAATCGGAGAAGGGGGGCAATGCGACGTAGGGTTCATCAAATAAATGGTCACAAGTTCATGGCTACCTTTCTGAAGCAACCGTCTTTCTGTGCTCACTGCCAAAAATTCATATGGTATGTATATTGGCAAATATTAAATACACTCGCTTAGGGTCTATTTCATGAGCATACTCTAACTTTGACTTAAAGCATCTACTAATTTAAGTCATCTCATAATACAATCTAGTGTGCACTTAATTTGGTGTGTGTTCAAAACATATCGCATTTTCTTAAATTGAATAATCAATTTTTATAAAATTACAGTGAGAATAAAATACTTGGTGATCTTGCACACACCAAATTAATATGGAATATGGGCATATCAGATAATTTAAAAAATGTTGAATATGCATGTCTGGGTATTTGGTTTTTCATCATACGTTATAGTATCATTAAGAAAAATACCGCTTTCTAAACATTACTTGAAATATTCCATTTACATACTCTCCCGGAATCATCATCATCGTAAGGGATATATAACCACTAATTTTCAGTTCGTCTATTACGGTACAAGTGTTTGGAATACAAAAACAAAAACTTAACAAATGCATTTTAGGTACATCCAACTGCAATTTTAAAAGAATTCTTTCTGTTTTTCTTCCCCTGCAATATGTCATACACGTATATAATTTCTGTGCATTGTTTGGGAATCAAATATTCAACCAGAAATTGGCTGCATGCATTGGTTTTACAAACACATATTAAACATATTATTCGGTGAAATAATTTTCATTTAACACGTTCGCTACCGCTGTACAGTCAGAAATTTGACTGCTGTAGCAACATAAACTTTTATTTTAACAGATTTGCGTGACACGCGTGTGTAACGTCGAGATGTCACAAAAATTACACATAGGTGGTATATGGTAGCTAACATGTTAATATGATATTGTATTTTTTATAGAAGTGAATTCATCAGTACATTTAAAAATGTATTACACAAATATAAGGCAAATATACACATTGAGTAGCCATTGTTTCCTTAATCTTTCTTGAAAGGCTATCATAAGCATCTAATTATGGTTTACGGTCCAAGAAGACATACGTATGTGTTTTATGAGGGTATACAAGGAGATGATGTGATGTGTTTTGTCTGTTGTATTTCAGGGGCTTGGGAATGCAAGGCTATCAGTGTCAAGGTGAGAAGACACATACACGTTATTAACAGATATTATAATTATATATTTGCTTGCTCTATCTTTGTGTGAACATATGTTTACCTAGGTGTGTGTATGTGTACTTAGTTCTTTATAAAGGGATCAGGAAATTTAGAATACTCAAAACCTCTTCATAATTGAACTTGACAACTTAAACCTTTGGTCTTTGATTTTGCCCATGGCTCGATACTCAATGCTGTGCTTTCTATAACAATTCTCAGAAAATAAAACTTAATGGTTGTAATACATCAGTTGATACCTACTGCAAATTATGTTAGCTCTGATTTAACATGGTAATAAGTGGGAGGATTACTTCATTGCATGTTCTTTGATACAGTCACGAAGAGACCAAAAATTTCGTTTCTATTGCATCCTTAAAATTCATATTCTGTCTTTAATATTGAAGCTTATACTGTTTCTATGGCAAGACTATCACAACATCCACCAGACTTTATTTATGCTTGTTATTCCAAATCAATGCGTCTAATCACGCATGTAACCAGCTTCGGACATGCTATGCTCAATGTTAATCCCATAATGTGGTGTGAATACTAAATTATATATTATTGTATTTCAGTTTGCACATTAGTAGTTCACAAAAAATGTCACAAATTGGTTATTACAAGATGCCACGGCATGAAAGACAAGGTAAATATTATTCATTTTATAAGATAATCAGTATGAATGTCTTGGAACAAGCATAACAATGATATTGAATTTTAGTCGACCAACGATACAGAAAATCAGCGGTTCAATATAGACGTGCCACATCGTTTCGTTGTTCGCAATTTCATGAGCTTTACATTTTGTGACCATTGTGGCACGCTTTTATATGGATTAACGAAGCAGGGCTACAATTGTGAAGGTACAATGTTTATGGCAATTTAACTTCTCATCTACAACTGGATGGTTTTTTACGTGAAACTCATTTCCTCTTTCTCCCTGCAGATTGTAACATGAATGTTCACAAAAAATGTCTGAAAAATGTAGCAAACAATTGTGGCGTGAACATGCAAGCCATGTCCGAGGTTTTAAGTAAAATGAATATATCATTTGATAAACATGTAAAAGCTCCAAAGATTAATTATAGAACAACACCGGATCAGTCTAGCCATAAGCCTCCACTAGCTCCCGTAAGCGACGCGTTACAAGCGGAAGCGATTAAAAAGGCAGACGAGCAACCACTTATTCCCACTGAGAACGCAGTACCTGTTAGTGAAAGTCAAGTTAGAAAACTTGGTATCGAAGATTTTAATTTTATCAAAGTTCTTGGTAAAGGTAGTTTCGGGAAAGTGATGTTGGTAGAACGAAAAGCCAATCCGGATGAAATTTACGCAGTGAAAATCCTAAGAAAGGAAGTGATCATACAAGACGACGACGTGGATTGCACAATGGCAGAAAAGCGGATTTTAACACTGGCAGCAAGACATCCATTCCTCACGGCTATCCACAGTTGTTTCCAGACAAACGATCGGTTGTTTTTCGTTATGGAGTTTGTAAATGGAGGTGCGTGCTCCGCCTGAAGTTACTTTCATTACTGTTACTTGAAATATTAAATTAAATATCTCATTGATTTCATTTGATTCTTTCTAATTTCAGGTGACTTAATGTTTCACATTCAAAAAGCACGGAAATTCGACGAGGTCAGAGCACGTTTCTATGCCGCAGAAGTGACACTGGCATTGCAATTTCTTCACAAACATCATGTGATTTATCGGGATTTGAAACTAGACAATATTTTATTGGATCAAGAGGGTCATTGCAAACTGGCTGACTTCGGAATGTGCAAGGAAGGCATTATCGAAGGGAAAACAACTACAGCGACGTTCTGTGGTACACCCGATTACATTGCACCGGAGATACTCCGAGAATTATCTTATGGTGCGAGTGTCGATTGGTGGGCGCTCGGTGTATTAATGTACGAGATGATGGTGGGTCAGCCGCCCTTCGAAGCCGAAAACGAGGATGAACTGTTCCAATCGATTTTGAAAGAGAACGTGGTCTATCCTAAATGGATCTCCGAGGAAGCAGTATCGATCTTGGTAGGATTCATGGCGAAAAATCCCGATGAAAGGTTAGGTTGTGTCGCAGCCAATGGCCGTGAAGAGGCCATAAAGGCTCATCCATTTTTCCATTCAATCGATTGGGAAGCACTCGAGGAGCGTAAAGTAAAGCCTCCCTTCAGACCTAAAATCGTAAGTTTCTTTTTTAGAATGTACGGTGGTTCTTTCAGCTTTAACACTTGAGAGGCAATGCATGTTTAAAAAAGTACAATTAACGCGTCGACTGCTACGGTGGTCATCAATGCCCGACATTAGTTATTTATGACAATAGCGTAACGTGAGACTAGCCAGAAATATATTATATAACAACCAATTAACACGTTGAACGCCGCACGATTTTATAGAATAAAATGCACAAGCCGGAAAAAAATATAATATTAAATCATTCGATTGAATTGCGTTATTATTATTGCACGCTGATCTTGCTCAATGTCACCGCATTCGATAGCATTGTTTGTAATGTAGAAATATTGTCAAATGATCATCTTTCAATTAAATGAACTATAGTAATTCGATTTAATTGGGGATCACCGGTGACCCCCATGGCACTCAACGTGTTTATAATTGTTCCCGTTCATCGTTGCCAAAAAATTACTGTTACACGAAACATTGAATACTGCCGGTCACAACGAGTTAAGAAAATCACCCCTCGATGCTTGATCTATTTTTTAATTATAGCTCGTCGCATAACTATCGCATTTTGTTCCAGAAAAGCGAGAAAGATACCATGAACTTCGACGCAGAGTTCACAAAAGAGGACCCAGTGCTGACACCGGAGGATCCCGAGGAAGTAAACTGCATCAACCAAGAGGAATTCGAGGGCTTTTCTTACGTCAATGAAGACTTCAACCCTGCTAGATTCGCAGCACAATAAGGGAACGATGATCGAAGCAAGGGGATACGATGTTAATATCTTAACGCTTCTCGCTTTAAAAAATTGGCGAAGACGCCAGGTCTGCAAAGCTGAACATCGGCGTTTATGAAGCTGCTCGGGGTCTCCTTTGTATTTCGTCTCCACTGAGGGTCATTTAATCTGTTACCAGAAGCTATCTTCAAGCCGAAAACAAAACGAAAAAAACGAAAAAAGAAAAGAAAAAGAAAAAACATTGTGATGATCGAGATCGTCGAAGAATTCGGAAAACTTCAGCCAGGATTTCGACGCGTCCGTTTCTCGCGAAACATAGCATTTTGGTATGGATATATATGTATATCGTGGCGTTTATTTAGCATAAGCATGAGAACGCGGATTTGGATCTGATTGCAAGTGTCTTAAAGGTATAGCGACGAATCACGGGGATTCCTTTCATTTCCATGGAAAACGATTTCGCGGCGAAGCGTGATCGAGAGGAAACGCGAAACGAGAGATTGAACCTGAGACGTTAATCGAAAACAATGCACTTTGGCAAACCGAGCGGTCTGGTTAAAGAAATTAGTACAAAAAGAAAAGAGTGCAAAGAAAGTTGTTCATTAATGGAGTTGCAGGATCGCTGGGCG